TATGGGGTATACCGAAATTTGTTTTTGTAACAATTGTCACAGCCAAAACCGAAAAAAGTAACAGTAAATACTTGTCGTAATCTTGTATTCTATCTTTTTTGGAGATATTGAGCACAGAGATTTAAATAAAAGGAGTGTAATATAATAACCTTTTTTTCAGAAAAGGTATTTTCAATGGAATATATTAATGTAAACTTTTAAGAATATATAGAATAATATGGAAATATATATGTATATAAAATGAGGTACAATTCAGGCACAACAATAATAATAATAAAAAAACCAATACATTAAGTAATATTTAATATTTATGAAATATCGTAAAGAACGGTTCTACGTCCACTATTATAATATTATTTGGGAAAATCTGATTCCATGTAGAATCAAAATGTTATGTAAAAATATCTTCGGTTTTTGGTAGAAAATATATAAACTAAGGGGATGCTTTTACTACTCGGTAAATTACTATATTGTTTAAACAATCAATTTTAATAACATTCAATTAATAAGTTATAATACAAGTAACCACAAAATTATACGAAAGAATTTTTATGTAGAAAGATGACTTCACCTATCTCCAATTTACCTCGATTTGTATATTTTGAACATTTAGATACAACATATAATTTTTTTTATCAAAACTTGGTAAGTTTAATAATATTTGAAAATGTACTAACAAGATACTTACATTTTTTTATTTTACTATATCAGATTTGAGCCTTTTTCGAGTCATTTGGACGTTGCCAGAAGCAACTAGACAGCGAATTCGTAGTTGCCAGAATGTTCTAGTAGCGAACTTTTGTTAAAAATTTATTATATAAGGGCTGCCGAAATGTGCAGCAGGGACAGTTCTAATTAGAGTATTGTCATGTAAAAAGCAATTAAGCTATAAACAATAAGTTGTAAACTCGAATAGCGAGCAATAAGTGTTAAGTTGTTGGAATTGGAAATAAAGATAAGTGTACAGCATTAAATTGGGACTTTAATTTAGCAATCTAGTGATCGATTCAAGAGTGAGTTACAGGTAGACGATTTATCGAGAAATTCGTTACAATTGGTGTCAGAAGTGGGATTGTCAAATAAATTCCCAAGGAGATAATTATTTGAAAATGGCCAAGTTTAACGATCTGAAGATTCCACAACTGAAAAAGGAGCTGGAACAACGTGGTTTGGCGACAAAAAAATTAAAAAATGAATTACAATCACGGCTGAGAGAGGCCATGGAGGCGGAAAATATTAATGTTGAGGATTATGTCTTTCACATGGAATTAGAGGAAGAGACAACAAAGATAGAAGAAAAAGAAGAGGCTCAATGCTCGTCAAAGATGGTGGACATAAACCTGATTTTTGCTGCAATATCGCAGATGGGGAAAGAGCAGAATACACGTATGTCTCAGATGTCAACGCAGATATCAACAGAAATATCGACACAATTTAAAGAGCAGGATGCACGTATAACCCAACAAATAGCAGAGGAATCATCACAAATGTTGACACAACAATCCCAATTGTCCTTGTTAGAAACGCGGTTGGAAGAGCAGTTCGCCGAATCAATCATCTGAGTTTTGGCAATTGCTTGCCGAATGCCCTAGTATTACACGTCCCGATGGTGAACCCAAAAAAATTTCGCCCAAACCGCAGCATCACATAAAGACAACTCCTGGCGTAGGTCTCAAAGAAATCGAGTTTCAAGGGCATACCATTTCCGCCCATGGAATAAAACCACTTGCGGAACGAGTCAGTCATCATCGACTACCCCAATTTCTACCGCAAATTTATTAAGCACGCAGCAAACTTACTCGCGCCACTTAACAAGCTACTCGAAGGTCCTGAAATCAATGGAAAACCTTCAATAAACCGGACCACATCGCTTTAAAACGCATTTTCTCTCGCTAACGCAACGCTCTTGACACACCCGGACAACGACGAGTGGGCCATATTTTCAGACGCATCCACCTGAATTGGTGCTGTTCTTCATAACGCATTGTGTCTTGCACCATTTTTAGTTGCAAACTTGCACCATCTGTTCAAATACAATCAACCTACGATCGTAGTCAATGCCATTTACGAATTAGTTATAATTTTCTGACTACTTGAAGGACGACACATCGCACTTACAGGATCACAAAACCCCATGCAGCGCATTCAAACAGAAGTCTTCGAACGAGCCACCATGGCAATTTTGATCATTTTACTAGTCAAGCCGTCACCTGTATACGGCAGGTCTGGTTCTAAACAATGTTGCGGAATGCCTTACTGAGTCGATGCTATTCACACAGCAGTTACATCCAAGAACTGGTTGTGCTCAAACCAACGATAAACTTCACAACTACTCCGCAACTCTAACACATTACCAATACAGCGCGGAAATCAATAGTAACACAGACATTTTCTTATATACTGCATATATCCACAGGTACAGCACGTCTGTTCTGTCTACAACAAATTGGGTACATTTAAATTGAGAATTCATCGAATGTATACCAGGTGAAGCATTACAAGACGCCTTCCTATCAGTTAAAAGAAATTTTTACGTCAATCAACAAGGACTGCATTACAGGACAAGTATGCATTCACATCACGGGCCAAAATACCCCACGCTCACGATGCCCATCTACCCAAACGGCTATGTCGGATTGAACACATTACTTGGTGACACTCCCAGCGGCACGGAGACCAAATGCCTTACACTCACCGATTCACACGCTATCCAGCAGCCGCACCACTATCGACGGCACAGTCCACAGAGTAGCACACACCCATGCAATGGAGTATCCACTTTGGAGTTCCACGAATAACACCAACCTGGAGGAATAATCTGAGTCAGACGCTGAAACTTCGCTGATCTTCTCGGTTTCAAACATCAACGAACAACGAGTTATCACCCACAACAAATGATTTATCAGAACGATTTCACCGTGACAGTTTACCATGCAGATCTTTCGTCATGAAGAAGTAGTTGGTACGATAAAATACCGCAGTTTCAGACCGAGCGGTATCATTTATATTGCCTAAGTTTATCAGCCAGGCGGTGAGTTAGTCCGACTCAAGAGTTTACACAATTGAAGCACACCTGAACTCGTTAAATGCTGGGCAGTTACTGCAGGCCTTTATTTCGAAGAACCTCGTAAAGCTTAAATACACGTTTTTATTCGAAATGTCAAGTCAGCTAATCATTTTCATCGCCCTGTTCACGCTTCCCGCAGTCATGAGCGATACGAAAAATAATAAAAGTTACTATATGGAAACCCTGCTAACAGTATCCATCGATGGCTAAACCAGCACCATGGTGACGATATTGTGAACACCTAATATCTGACAACTGTAACACAGGTACCAGCGACACTAATCGTGATCCTTCTACTACAATACAGAATGTGCTAATACGCTTAAAATTTCAATAAAACAAAAATTATATTACATCATTTGTATTTAGGAGATATGGGGAAGCATCCAAACATATTGGGACGAACATGAAGAGTTAGAACAAAATCGAATTGACAATACTTGCCAGAAGAAGCACCAGACAGCGAATTCGTAGTTGCCAGTTGTTCTAGTAGTAAAGTAGTTAGCGAATTTGTAGGGCCAGAATGTTCTAGAAGCAATGTTTGTTATAGATTTACGGCTATTGATTGTAAAGGCAAACAATTTAGTTAGAGTGTTGTCGTCGACAGAGAATCGTTATAAACAATAAGTTGTAAATCCAAATATCGCGCAATAAGTGTTAAGTTGTTGGAATAAGAAATAAAGATAAGTGTGTAGCCATTAAATTGGGACTTTTATTTAACAATCCAGTGATCGAACTCAAGAGTGAGTTACAGGTAGACGATTTATCGAGAAATCCGTTACAATATCTTAAAATTTATTTAATTCATATACACAAGTTCATATTAAATTCATTTATATTAGTACAACTAAGAGTTAGGTTATCCTACATTCTACTTTACATTGTTATCCTAAGGTTTACACTACTACTATCTCTCTTACATATGTACATTAATTAAGCTAACATAATAATGCATTACACATTAAGAGCATCATCACCTGCTGCTGATCACTGTTACCTAAATACTAGTATAATATATTGTGGCGAACACGAGTACCAGAACAAATCAGAATGGACGATAAACTGCCAGAAGCAACTAGACAGCGAATTCGTAGTTGCCAGAATGTTCTAGTAGAGAACTTTTGTTTAAAATTTACTATATAAGGGCTGCCGGATTGTGCGGCAGGGACAGTTCTAATTAGAGTGTTGCCGTGTAAAGAGCAATTAAGCTATAAACAATAAGTTGTAAATCCAAATATCGCGCAATAAGTGATAAGTTTTTGGAAATAAAAGTAAAAATAAGTGTATAGCCATTAAATTGGGACTTTAATTTAACAATCTAGTGATCGAACTCAAGAGGGAGTTACAGGTAGACGATTTATCGATCCGTTACAATATTAATAAGCAACCGGTATCGAATGCCTACCTGTTGCCGTTAGTTTGCGTAAGTATTAGTGAAAAATTTACGATTGGATACTTGTAGGCTTACACCAAGAATGATAGAATACAAGATTACGCAAATCGCCCTCTTGTGACGTAATTCTTTTGGAATGGGAAGAGACGACATAGAAAAACTGTTAAATGGCCTGGAAATTGTAGACACTTTTGAATTCGTGAAATAGACTTAATTTATTGGTCTCATTAGTTATTAGTTTCAAAATCAATTTATTTTTTACTTATAAATTTTAAATAAATACAACCATCGCCATCACCTTCCCTTCTACTTATTCACTTAATTGACAATTTGTTGTCAATATATAAATGTATTTAATTAAAAATTACCAAAACATATTATTTTTCCGGTAGGAAAAACTAACAATATGATAATGTACAGTCCCTTCCCAGAGCACAAATATATATGATTGAATATACAGCGGAAACTCTATATAACGAAATTATATATTATATAACAAAAAACTCGATATATATACTACATAGTTGATATTTTTTCCAGCTAATACAACTAGTGTCCAACCAGAGAACTTAAAACAACGAGAAGGTGCAGGTTCGACAGCGAACAATTTATAGGATTTTATCAAGGAGTTCACCTCACATGTACAGAATCTCTCTCATAAAAGTACAGAATTGTGTTTTGCCGTCGGCATTTTCATATCATGTGTAAAAATATTTGTAAATTTGTCTACAAACAACATATGTATCTAGATATGAACATTCATTACTTCATGTGAAATCTCCGTTGACACGGTCAACCAATGATCGAAGCTCAAGTTCTTTGCTTTTATGTCAAAGAGTCAATCTGTCGAAGGACTGACGCGACGACAAAGCGTCACAACATTGTGTTGTTGGTAGAAAATCCCAGACGTGCCGAAAAATAAACGAACTCTCGCCGATTGTCGCCGCTTCCCTTGCCGCTCAAACAGCTTTGCCCTCAAATCATTGTAAATATGTATTTTTATATAATATATGAGCATGCATACATATTGACGCAGATTTTTGCGAGTCACGGAAAAATATTTTAGAATTGTAAAATATTTTAAATCGACAAGAGCTTTGTTGCCACTTTTGTCACTTTTTTCTGTGTTTTCTGTGTTTGCAGGGTTGTCACTTTTCCCTTCTAGAGGGAACATCAGAAAGATGTTCAATTTATAATTTCTAGCTTTTGCCATCGTCGCGAAAAGACGCTTGTGGGCTAACGCATGCTCGGGGAGATGTGTAAGGCGTTTGCTTTTATGAATGAATCGACTTAGCTTATGGATTGTGCGCCAGCGTTCATGAATGAAAATGTTGTTGGTGTGTGATTTACTACAAATGTAGGATTTGTCAATTTGGCTGCCATATTGATTTCTGGTGCTGATGCTATTTGAGACAATTGTTGTTTTTGTACAACAATGTTTGTATTTTGCCTATTGACTGACGTACTTACATTTGTACGCTTAAATGTATGTAGATTTGTGTATGCATTACTTATTTTGCGCGGTCATACGCATATTTGTACATACATACTTACATATAGAGCAGTGCGCTCACATGTTTTTATTGATAATTGATAATATATTATTACAAGTATATTATATAATATAACATATTGATGTACATATGTACATAAATAAATTATTAATTCTGTAACAACTGAAATTAGAAAATTATGAAAATAGTAAAATATCATATTTTGCATAATCTTTCACATTTTATCAATGTAGCATTTGTGCAAATAATCATATTTTATCAATTTTTCATCATAAAGATCGTTTATATGGCAAAAAATAATCATGCATATGTGAAGTGGCATTTGTATTTTTTGTTTTCTCATTCATTTCATTTCATTTTTCTCTTTGTGTTGGGAGGTACGTAATTTGTCAGAGAACGCTGTTAAAAATTCTCATTTCTGTTAAATAACAGCAAATATTACAGAAAATGGTGAACTCCTTGGTCTGAAATTTTCAGCCAACCAATCGAGCATCATACAAAATTCACTTTGCACCTTCTCGTTCATTTAAGTTCTCTGGTCCAACAACCAATAAAACAAAGTGCTTGATTACCATCAGAGATAAAGACTCAGGCAACTATTAATGTTCAGGTGGTTTTGACGTTTAGCCGTTGGAAAAAGAGGGACGGCTAGATTGAAATCCTATTAAAAAAAATGTGAATAGAGAGATTTGTTGCCGCTGTTGAAGCAGAGAACTTAGAAGAATGAGAAGGTGCTGGTTCGACAAGCGAACATTTGAAAATTTTTATCAAGGAGTTCACCTCACACGCAGGAGAAACAAATAACATTTATCGCTTTTATAACAGCGGTGAATCTGTAAACATACGCTCTCTTAACATAACCAAACGGCGAATATTGAAGAGAATATAATATGTATGCCAAACTGGCAATATTGATATATATGAAATATATTGTATTCTCTTTTATTGAACTATTATTTATTATTTTTTAAATTAGTTTATGTTAGTTAATTTTTACTTTATTATAAGAAATATATCAAAATACTTTTAAATTATTACTAATAAATTATTTTGATATATTTCTTAAAATAATTCATGTACATGACACCATTATGGAGTCATAAGAGTACAGAATTGTGTTTTGCCGTCGGAATTTTCATATCATGTGTACATGTAAAGAAATATGAAAGAAAAATATTTGTAAATTTGTCTACAAACAACATATGTGTGTATGTATGTACACTGATTACTTCATGTGAAATCTCCGTTGATACGGTCAACCAATGATCGAAGCTCATGTTTTTCGCTTTTATGTCAATCTGTCGAAGTACTGACGCGACGACAAACCGTCACAGCTTTGTGTTTTTGGTAGAAAATCCGAGATGTGCCGAAAAATAAACGAACACTCGCCGATTGTCATCGCTTCTCTTTTTCTTCTAAGTTCTCTGGTTGAAGATCACTAACAAATATTGGAAAACAATGAAAATGAAAGAAAACGCGAAACTGAAATGTATGTGATGTTTTGTGACGCCATGCTTAGTAGTATTAATTTTCAATTGAAAATTATAAAAAACATTTATTAATTGAGAGCTATTACATTTAGTATTCTTCTTTTTAAATATATTCTTTTTATTAAATATTGAAAGTTGGAAAATCAATTGTTTTTACTATATTAAAAAAAAGGGTTTAAATGGTTGCTGCATATGTTTAACGGATACACGTAATATAAAATAAATGTTGGGTATTTTAATATAAAAGCCCAAAAATTATTCTTTTGTCCGATCTGGCTTCAATTAAAAATGTTAAAAACCGCTAATTTTGAGGCGCTCTCACACTGGAATAAGTTCGACATCCTTTTAGCCCTGATTACCATTGTACAGGCACAGGAAAACTTCGACCAACCTGTGGCATGCATAACCAATATGTTCAAGGCTTTGGAAGAGGTAACACCAAGGTAAGACCTAGCCAGAACAGAAAAGATGGTCTTCCGATTTTTTAAAACTTTGGTAAATAATAGTCGCGGTTTTTGATGCGTTTTAAAATTACAAAAAAAAAACGGTTTGTAAGATAAAAATCTTAAGAAGCGACAACGGGCGTGAATTTATCGCGAATACGTTTGAACAATTTTTAAAAGAAAATTGTATTAAGAGGCAGCAGAATGGGGTAGCAGAACGTGCCAACAAAACCCTAGTGGAAATAGCTAGATCCATGATCAATTATTCGCAGCTCGGTGAGTATTTTTGGGCGGAGGCAGCTATGACGGCAGCATATCTGGGCAATAGAACAGTGACGCAAGTACCCGTAGATAAAACGCCACACGAACTATGGACAGGCGCAAAGCCAAGTGTGTCACATCTAAAAATATTCGGCTCAAAAGTTATAGCGCTCGATAAAAGGCATAAGAACAAATTTCGTCCAAAGGAAAAATAATATTCCATGATTGGTTATTCTGAAGAAGCCAAAGCTTGTAAGTTTTTTGACTCTGACAGTCAACTGACAAAGTTATTGCCAATCGAGGCGCTATTTTTATTGAAAATGTTGACGTTAGTAGGGAGCGCGCAACAAGTCTAATATGTTTCGAAAATGTTGACGGGGAGGCCGAATTGCTGTAATCGGATTGGACATCAAAAGTGGAGGATTACATGATTGCTAAAAATATTGATGCAGTCTTAGTAGCAAATGAAAAACAGTATAACGTACTAAGCTTGATATTCGAAGATTTAATTTAACTTCAAACAGTGTGGTCGTTTATATGAAGCAATCAGAGTGCGTTGTAGACAGCAGTCCGGATAGAGTTTTAAAGCTGAAGAAATCCTTGTACGGATTATAACAAAGTTTTCGCGAATGGAACTCAAAGCTAGATGCAATTCTTCGAGACATTGGTTTTTTACCATGCCCTAGTGAACCACGTCCTTTCATCAATAATCATGGCGAAGTACGCAATTCAATATCAGTATATGTAGATGATCTCATCACTGCCAGTTCATGTAAGTCTATTGCAAATCAAAGCGAAAATGTCAAAGAAGTTCCGAGTGGTTGATGGTGGTCAACTAACGCATTTCCTTGATATGGATTACTTAAAAAAGAACACTGTATGTCCGATTTCTGAGATACCGGAACACAATTGGATGCGGGTTTCATCACTCAATGCAGTAAAGCGATGTGTAAGAAAGTCGATAAGACAGTGATACTCCATCGTTAGAGTGTTAATTAACCTGGCAATATCAACACGTCCTGATATATTACATTCTGTTTGTAAAATATCACAGCCCAATGCGAATCCACATGCAGAACATGAAGCAGCAGTTAAGCATGTACTTCTTTACTTGACGAAGACATCAGACTACAAGTTGCATTTTCATCACACTGGTTATCCAGTTGTGTGTTTCGTTGTTGTTGTTGTAGCGGCAGAATTTTTCCGAGTTGACAGTCCTTGGCCGGAAAAAATCCGGATCCGTTCCGGTTACGTAGACCGGACTGTTATGGGAACGGTAACGTCACTGCCCATTGGTTTGGCGACGTCAGTGATCGTAAGTCATATTCAGAGTATGTTTTTGTAGCAGCTGGAGCAGTTTTTTCGTGGGAATCAAAGAAACAGAGCGTGGTAACACTTTGCAGCACAGAGGCTGATATACTCAGCGCTTTCTACAGCAGCGAAAGAAGCAGCCTACATCAACAAATTGTTAGACGCAATGGGTTTCATACAGTCCGGTCCAAAGATACTGAACAACTATAACTTGAGCACGCAACAGCTGGTAAAGAATCCAATTTACCATGCGCGTAGTAAACATATTGATTTTAGATATCATTATTTTTAACTAAGACGAAACATGTTAAATTCTCAAAAGAAATGAATTTATTTTGATTTAATATCAAAATGCAAAGTGTTGAGAAGGAGTATCAGATATATGAATTACTAAATGTGTGGCAACACTTCTCTTCAGTCTTGCGAATAACTTTGTAGAAGAGAGGTATCTTTGGTGTCTTTATCCTTTATCATTCATTCCTTTTTTAATTACTAATAAATAATAAATAAAAAACATAAATAATGATTTTTTGTGATTTTTATTTTGCTCAAAATAAAATTAATTTTTAGATAAAAGGATTTTTGTGAAGTTTTTTCTCAATTT